AATCTCTCTCTCTATCTAGAAATCTCTCTCTCTCACTCTCTCTAGAAATCTACCTCTCCCTTCTCTCCCTACTCTCCAGCCAATTTGTAAGTATTTTTTATAAATTATTTTCATTATAGTTTTGTTTAAATAAGAGATAGGCCCGGAATTTAGATAGGGTTTAGGTTTGAAATTTAGATAGGCCCGGAATTTATAAATATATGATATAATTAGTAACTATATGTTATTTAATTTTGTAGATTACTTAGATATGGCTCATCGGGCAAAGAGGTTCCACTACCGACAAATGGTAGATCCAGACGGTACGGCCCCGTCCACCTCAGCGACAGGGTAAGTCTTCCCGGAGTCCTCGGGAACACAACGAACGGTTTCCCAACCGGTCATTGTACCACAGCCGGCACCGCCTCCACCACCACCAGCCGAACCAGCAGCCCCGATACAGCTTATACCGTATGCCCAATTTATGGTACAGGATCTTCTACGCCAACTGGGTCATGAGAGTATGAACAAACTCGATCCAGATTGAGCCCCGGGAACATTTTGGTACGAGTTTTTTTTAAATATTGTTTAAAAAAATAATCTTTATAATTAATTGAAATTAATTTAATTTTTATTTGCATTTGACTAGGTTTACGACCGACAATGCGGTCGGTCGTAACGTTGCAGACATCATCTGGAAGAAGCTGGATCAGGCAACTCTTGACACTTGGTTCAAGTGTTTTGCGGTAAGTACTTTAAAATTTTGATTTATATTATTAATTTTAATTTTTTACAATAATTACTAACTTTTTGTTTATTTTCCTAGCAAAACTGGCATTGGGAAACAGCCGCACACAGACGTGTGGAGACAGCCTTCAAAGAGAATGTCAAATTCCACATCAACAACACCGTTTCCGACTGGCAAGGCCAAGCTGGCGCCGATGGCCGATACCGTCTGGCGGGGTCTGGTCCAGTACTGGTTGAATCCGCATAACCAGACTACTGCCGCCAAGTGTTCTGGATCCAGGTATTTTAATTTGTGTTTATATTAAATATATAATTAAATTATGTGTTTTCTTCCTTAATACATTCTAATGAATATATTTTGCAGGAACGCTACTGACGATGCGGAAAATCAGAAGAACGTCCCGCACACTTCCGGCCAGATTCCTTTTGCCGGGAGATGACTTATGACGGTAATTAAATTTAAATTATTAATTTTTTGTTTTAAAATAATTAACTCTTATTTGTCTTATTAATATTTTGATTTTGATTTTGTAAGTCGAAGAAAACGGGGGACAACTTCCTTCGATAAAAGGTCTTCGCCGAGACCCATAAGAAGCGGAACGGTGAATTCATGGATCCTCGGGGGGAGGAGATCTACAACGCCGCCTGTGCGGCGATCGAGGAGTGGCAGACGCAACTCACTCAGCAGGCGCGTCCAACATCTCCCGGAGGTAGCTCGGTCCAATCGACTCCGACGCTGACGGTGGCGGAGATGGACCAGATTTTTGAAGAGGTAAATTCTTTTAATAAATTTAATGTAATTTTAACTTTATATTGTATTTTTTAACATAGTTTATTTAAATATTTTCAGGTTGCCCCTAAGAAAAAGGGGCGGGTTTTAGGGATGGGATCCATCCGTGATACCCTGGTCGCTACGGCAACTGGTCATGTCCGGACACCGGATTCGCTTATCCGCCAGGAGATCGATCAGATGCGGACCCAGTACGAGACTAAGATCGACCAGTTGTACGGTCTCTTCGAGATCATGGGGGCCGACAACCCGGTGCTCATGGCGCAGTTGGACAGGCTGCGGGCTGATGGAGTTGTCGGATCGTCTGCAGAGTCATCTTCTAGGAGGCAACCACCAGTGCAGACGGACGAGAAGATGTTCCGGTCTCTCGGGGTTGGTCCTCCTAGAGCCAGAGATCAGGCGCCGGAAACCTCTAACCGAAGACCCGGGGATCTGGCAGCGGAAACCTCTACCCGAAGACCCGGGAAAGAACATGTGGAGGACGATGATGGGGAGCAGGCCGGTGACGAGATCGACCTTAGTTTAGATTTAGATATAGATCTTTAGGGTTTTTTTTGTAATTACTAAAATTAATTTTAATTTGAAATTTAATTAAATTTTAAATTGTAAATTAATTCTTTTTTAATTTAAATTTTAATTCGAATTAAATTTTTTTTTTTCAATTATAAAAACGTCGTATAATCATCGTAATATAATTATTATTATTTTATTAAACCGTCGTATATTCGTCGTAACAAGTACGACGAATTTACGACAAAATTGTACGACGACTAATACGACAAATATACGTTCATGTTTTACGATGGTTTTACGACGGAATGATAAAATATATTACAATTGAATTACGACGAAAATTGCGTCGTATATTTTAAGACGATCCTTCGTCTATTTTTAACGACGACTTAACGATGGTCCAAGCGAAGACCAAATCGAGGCAATTCGATGTAAAGTCGTCGTAAATTGATCGACGCATTTACGACGATTTTTTTCCGTCGATGTTACGACGAAAAAAAACCGTCGTAGATTATACGACGATTTGTCTATTACGACGATGAGTTTACGACAATTTTGAAATCGTCGGTAGTCTGTCGGAATAGCCCTATTACGATGAAATAACGACAATTTTGATCATTGTAAAACGGTGTTTTTCTTGTAGTATCTCCCATCTCCTTTGCTTCTTCGTCTCTCCCATCTCCTTTGCTTCTTCGTTTCTCCTATCTCCATCTTTTCTTACTTCATCAACTAATTAATCTCCCCGTCAACAACAACAACAACAACTCTCCTTATTCTTCTCCGACAACGACAAATCTCTTCCAATCCAGATATTCCTGTCATCTCCTTTCCAAAGCCCAATCCACCATCTCCATCTGCATTCTCCTCCTCTCCTCACCCTATTCTTCTTCCTCTGGTTTTCCTGGTTTCTCCCCGCTCGATTTCTCCTCAATCGCGATGTTGTCGGCGCCAAGACTCGCTGAACTGACTCATTTTCGAAACTCGTCAATGTTCACCAAAATTCGAATATTTCCAATCAAATCGACTTTGGGCTTCCAATTATGTCCAGGTTCATGAAGAATCAGTCGAAGAAGAAGGCGTCTGAGCCTATTTGGGAAAGAAGAAACATTGATCTAATAACAGCAGCGATTCTGCATCGAATGAGACCGAGTCAACTCACGGGTCGGTCGTGGGATGCTGGAGATGCATGTGTTGTTCAATCTGCGAATCAATTTGCTAAGTGCCATCAATGTAATTGCGGACGAAGCTGATCGTGATTTGTAACCTAATTTTTTAATTTTTTCCTCAAAATTGATTTTTAAAATGTGTGTTGTTTTACTTTATGTTTTGTAAAAATCGTGTTGTTTTTTATATTGGTGAAACGATACGTTTTAACTTCTGTGTGTTTTTTCACGCTGTTTAATATTTACCATGTCATCAATATAGGCGAGGGTTATATTGCGGGTGACTTTTGAGATCAGAGGATTGACCTGCATTTTTCAAAGGTGAGAGTCATTTTTGCATAAAAAATTAAAGGTGATGAGTTTTTTTGCATTAAACCCTTAAGGTTTTCAAAGGATTTCATAAGTTAGAGAACTGAATGCAAATAGGGTTCAACTATTAGCAGGATCTTAGGTTAATCTATTCATCAAAAGTGTAATAGGTTGCTAGAACAAACACTGGTGAGCGATTTGTCCTTAGCTAACAACAGTTGAAGTTAAGGCAAATTATGAACCTGCTCGTTAATGCTTGTCTGCAATTTTTTAGGTTCAAACGACAGTTTAAAATTTAGGTTGTTAGATAAAGTTATCGAGATCACGACAGTGGATCGATAAGCTGTTATGTTTGAGTTCGAGACCTGCATTTAAGTTGTGCCCTGAATAGTCATTTGATTCTCATCTCTGAAACTTCTGCGAATTACCTTGATCTAGTGCTTGTTTTAACTTGAATTTAAATCGTCTTTAGCTTGTGTTTACTAGTCGTTAAAGTTACAAACTAACCATCTTTTGTCTTAGCTTTATTTCAGTTCTCGTAGAGTCATAGAGTAGCATTGGTCCTCTGGATTTCAAATCCTTTATATTACAATCTCATCACTATTGTATTGCAGTCGAAACTACGAGATACATCCAGTTGGAATCAATAAATATGTGTTAATCAAGCGTCAAATGTAGATGTAATGAAGTTTTAAATATTGAATCATGAAACATCAAACATCTAATTTACGTTTTACATTCCATGCACTAAAACTACCAAAGAAAGCTCTTACATTTTTATTTTAGACAATGGACTAATAAATTTTGTATGGAGTAATCAGACATTTTTTTTCTTATAACTAATTGCTATATATATATTATTTTTTTGTGAAAACTAATTGCTATATTGACTGAAAAGGATTAATGGACTAGATTAAAACGCGTATCCATAGTCCTTACACAAACTACGTCTAACTAATTGCTATATTGACTGAAGGTACGTAATCAATTGTCATATTCAGACACAAACTAGGTCTAACTAACTGCACTCTATTCTATTCATAATCCATTTATATAGGTTTACTCATATAGATTTAATTTTAATTAGTTACTAGGTTATAATTCGTATTTTGAGTATATATACCACATATATATATATAGTTTGTTTATATTTTAAAATGCATATCATTAGATGAAATAAAAATTATTAGAAAGTAAAACCTACTGTTTTCTAAGGACTGTTTTCTAAGGATTTAATATATTAATATATTTTTTAGATCTTCATGATAAATATAAAATTTTGTAGTTATGGCAAAAAAAAAATTGGAGTTAATGATTCCAATAGAGTGCAAGACCTGACAGTATCGACCCCGGATAATGCAAGAATACCATTAAGATTTTCAATCTTATACAGTAGCTAAATTTAACATCTCTCCCAAGAATAGAGAGATCACCGCTCATACTAAGTGCCGTAACAGAAACATATATACAATATCTCCCTCTAGAAAAATTTATGTGCAATGAACCCTGGAAATTCTGTGTGGCGGTGTTTTTGGCAAACCGATGACGCCAACAGATTCTCTCCTACGGTTAGGAGTATGCTCCAACTAAAGCACCGTCTTGTGGACTTCATGAGATGTGATATTGGGAATGGTGAGAACGCTTCCTTCTGGTATGATTCCTGGACTGATCTTGGCCCCTTGATTTCTTTCTTGGGTGAGAGAGGACCTCGGCAGCTTCGCGTGCGGCTTCAGGATAAGGTCATTCACGCCACTAGTCATGGGGAATGGCATTTACCGGCTGCCAGATCTGACCAGGCGCATGCTTTGCAAGTCACTCTCACCACCATCTCCCCTCCTAGCTCTGTTCGTGGAATTGATCAGTATCTTTGGCGAAGTGCTTCAGGCACTTATGTTCAGGACTTCTCTTCTAAGGCTACTTGGAATGCTATCCGGGTGCCGGCTCCTACTGTCTCTTGGTATAAGACGGTTTGGTTCAAAGAAGCTATCCCTCGATGTACATTTATTACATGGCTGTCTATGTTATCTCGGCTCCCAACCAAAGATAGACTCTTGGGCTGGTGAATGACCGTTTCGGATCTTCGTGTCTTATGTAGAGCAGAGCCTGAATCGCATGACCATCTTTTTTTCGCTCGCTCATTCTCTTCGGAGCTTTGGTCTCGATTTGTGGGTAGAGTTTCATCTCATGTCCCTTTGTCGCTTCGTGCTGTTGATGCTCTCATCTCCTCCAGGACTGCCTTTCCTTCCTCTCGCCAGAAGTCAGTGTTCAAGCTCCTTCTTCAAGTCGTTGTCTACGCCATTTGGAGAGAGCGCAACTCTCGCATCTTCACGGACTCATCCTCCCCTGTTTCAGTTGTTCGTGCATCAGTGGACAGAATGCTTCGGGATCGTCTTCTTTCCTTCCCGCCGAGTACTGCATCCTCCCCCTCCTTGCTTGAATTATATTTCCAGCATCTTGGTTCCATTAGCTAGCGCTTGTAATCCTTTTTTATCTTCTCTTCTTGTAATAAGTGATCCCTCACAACTCTGTAAAATCTTGAAAATGGTATGAATCTTAACATGTTCGACCAAAAAAAAAATTCTGTGTGGCTTTCGCAGAGAAGAAAATGGATTGTGATGACACCAATAATCTCTGATCTTGCAGAGAATGCCATAACCTCACAGGAGTTCTCTGATACCCAGATTATAGAACGTTTAAAACCCCCCATCAGTGTTGTCACAAATATTCCTTACCATCAATATATAGAATCATGCATATACCCAAGTTTGAATTTTGATAAGAAACGGGCTTGACTACTGTCTTCCAATTTCCAAGTACAAGATTTAAGAAGCTCAATAACTTCAATCCAAGAGTGTAATAGAGATCATATTCATTTTAAACGTGTTCCAAAAATCTGACTTCAAGTGCTGAGGAATCCCCATGTGTACATGACTGAGCTCAGCAATGAATATAGCCCAATTTCAAAAAAAAAATTGAAAATCCTATCGCTCATAAGGAAATTATTTTTTAGTTCCCCACAGCGCAAACAAATATTTTCATATCAGGCATTCTGAATAAATCGTTTAATGAAAAAGAAAAACTTCAAAATTCAATTATCATAAAAGGTAAAAGTTATTAAAAAAAAATAGCCTAAAAGGGAATACTAATTTAGTACCTCTATATATATATATATATATATATAAAAGATTTCTCAATGAATATAGCCTAATTTTTTTAATAAAAAAATTGAAAATCCAACCAAGCTCATAGGGAAATTATTTATAAATTTTCCCACAGTAAACAATTCTTTCTTCATATCAGGCATCTGAAACTGAAAACAAAAAACAATGAAAAACTTAAAAATCGATTAATAAAAAAAGGAAAACTTCAAAATTCAATTATCATAATAAAAGGTAAAAGTTATTGTAATTTTTTTTTAAGAAAAAAGAATTAGCCTAATTAAAAAAGAATAACTAATTTATAGCACCTCTATATATATCTGAAAAAACAAAGATTTCTCTTAAGCGTTTCTCAGAAACTTGGAGGAAGAAAGAAAGAAAAAAAAAAGAGGCAAGCTTTTGAGTGCATTCGATGTCGAATTCAGTTTTAATAATAAAATAGAGATGAAATATGTTTGGAATATTCTTTTTGAAGGAAAAAACGAAGAAAAATTTATTCCAATAGTTCCTTTTTTTTTTCAAAAATAAAGTTTTCTTCATTTTTTAAGAAAAAAATGAAAAAAACTATTAGAAATGCTCTGAGAAGCTCAATAACTTCAATCCAATCCAAGAGTGTAATAGAGATCATATTCATTTTAAACGTGTTCCAAAAATCTGACTTCAAGTGCTGAGGAATCCCCATGTGTACATGACTGAGCTCAGCAATAAATATAGCCCAATTTCTAAAAAAAAATTGAAAATCCTAGCGCTCATAAGGAAATTATTTTTTAGTTCCCCACAGCGCAAACAAATATTTTCATATCAGGCATTCTGAATAAATCGTTTAATGAAAAAGGAAAACTTCAAAATTAAATTATCATAAAAGGTAAAAGTTATTAAAAAAAAATAGCCTAAAAGGGAATACTAATTTAGTACCTCTATATATATATGTATATAAAAGATTTTTCAATGAATATAGCCTAATTTTTTTTAAAAAAATTGAAAATCCAACCAAGCTCATAGGGAAATTATTTATAAATTCTTCCACAGCAAAAAATTTTTTCTTCATATCAGGCATCTGAAACTGAAAACAAAAAATAATGGAAAAGTTAAAAATCGATTAATAAAAAAAGGAAAACTTCAAAATTCAATTATCATAATAAAAGGTAAAAGTTATTGTGATTTTTTAGAAAAAAAGAATTAGCCTAATAAAAAAGGAATAACTAATTTATAGCACCTCTATATATATATATAGCACCTCTTAAGCGTTTATGAGGAAGAAGAAACAAAGAAAAAAAAAAGAGGCAAGCTTTTGAGTGCGTTCGATGTCGAATTCAGCCATTGAAGAGCCACCGCATAAAAAGAGGAAGACATGTCTGTCTCCGTCTGCGTTATCGTTGCTGCCAGATGAGATATTTCTAAGCTGCATGTCTCGAGTGTCGAGATCGGACCAGGCGGCGTTATCTCTGGTCTCGAGAAGCTATCGATCTCTGGTGGCTTCACCAGAGCTCTACAAGATGCGGTCGCTGTATGGTTGCACGGAGAATTGCGTCTATGTATGCTTAGTAAGCCCTCCGGACCCAAACCCACGGTGGTTCATCCTCCTCCGGGAGAATCGGCTTCTGAGCCCGATCCCGAACCCGTCATTCCCGCCTCAGGCTCCGGAAGGATCCTCCGTGGTGGCGCTGGATTGGGGGATCTATGTAATTGGTGGATTGAGAAACGGGAAGCCCACTTCGGAAGTCTGGCTTTTGGACTGTAGGACTCACACGTGGCGCCAAGTCCCTTCCATGGGAGTGGGCCGGGTTACGGCGGCTGCTGGAGTCGTAGGCGGGAAGATTTACGTGTTCGGAGGCTGCTGGAACCCAGATTCCTCGAATTGGGCAGAGGTATATGACCCAAAGACCCAAACTTGGGAAGCTTTGCCACCAATGCCGGATCGCAAGACACGCTGTCAGTTAATCCACGACAGTGTGGTCGTGAAGGAGGAAAGGGTTTATGCAGTGGATCATATGGAAACAACGTTGTACTACTCGCCGAGTGAAAAGAAATGGGGAAGAGGGAACCATAGTGAACTGCATGGATACAAAAGGGATTGGTGTGTGATTAATAACATTATCTACTCTTGTGATCGGTTTGGGGAGTTGCGTTGGTGTGAGCAAGCTCAATTGGAGTGCTCTGAACCTGAAGGAGAGGGGATGTATTGGAGGAAGGTACAGGGTTTGGGATCTCTCAAGGACAGTCTCTCTAGCTCCAGACTGGTCCACTTTGATGGGAGGTTTGATGGTGCGTGGGAGTCCCTTAAGATCGGGTTGGGTGTCAACACCAAGCTTATAGATGTACTTCCTGGAGCCAGACTCATCAAATCTGGTCCTAACCTTGTGCTCTTCTGGGATGTCATCGAGGGGGATCATCTTGAGATTTGGTGTGCAGTGATTTCCTTGGAAAGACGCCAAGGACCCGAGATTTGGGGCAACATTGACTGGTCTCATCCTCTCAAGACCGTTGAGCCTTTCTCACATCACCACAAGGTTTTGCATTCAGTCTCTGTCACTCTCTGAACTCTCGCAATCTTGTTTAATTCTTATTTTAGTACCCTTCTATCTTATAAGTTACTCTTCTGCTGTATGGTCTTTAGAGGTTTTGATGTATCTATGTGTGTGCTCTTGATATTCTCTTATTGATTTCTCGTGGTATTTCTTGTCTAATCCATAGCCTCTGGTTTGATGTTTCAGTCGTCACACTCCCACACACTATATTTCCGAGCCAAAACTAGTTTGAACATCTTTGTTGCAAAATGACCTTGATTACAAATCTTCTAATTGGATTTTTCTCTTGGTCAGCTTTAAGTTTCGTACCTTCTTTTGTTTTCTTTTGTATCTATAAGTACATGTGTAAAGATTGGTTTCTTCCTGCAGATTATGCATATTCTTCTTGGTGTTCTGCTAAAGTGCTTTTAGGTTTTCTCCAAACTTTTCAGAATCGTTATTGAATTTTTTTCAACAAATATCATCAATAGAGCTTCGATCAAATCTATTGAGCTATATCTGGTGTTCAGGTAATGGATCTACAAATTCAGAGATTAGAGAGAGGAAGTGACATGCAATCTTCAAGACAGTTCTCTTGGGTTGCTAGAATAAGAACTCAATAGGCAAATTTTACAGCAGAGTTTGGTAAGTCCAACAACTTGATCCCTCTCCATCACCATACTCTACAAGTGCTTTGTCACTCCATCCGAATCCAAGCATGTTCAGGCCTGATCAACTTGGGAACATTGTGTAGTCTTTGGTCCAATTATATGATGAAAACAAGCCGGTTTAGCCGAAATAGAGAACAATTCGAAAGTCTTGAGAGAGACACTTGAGACAGCAGCTCCAGCGAAACAGAAGAAGCAACATATTCATGTATGAGAACAACATGTCTTAGTATTGCTTTCTCGTTGAACCACATAGAAAATCTTGTCTGCTTACACCCTTTTGCCATTGAAGCTCTTTCCCAATCACACCAAACAAAACGAACCCGCTGGGCTAAACAGAGTATTTCGATTTCCCATTTTTCTTTTCAGATTTCGTCGACTAGCTACTGAAAAGGAAGCTCACATTCCTTTTTCTTCAAAATCCGCCATGGAAGCAACTGCAAGAATCCAGATAAGTGTAAATTCAGAATCCCGTTCGATCAAATACACCAAAATGTTTGGTGTTCCACAGTTTCAGTTACACTGGTTGGCTTGTGTAGGTTGATGGAAAGCAAATTCCTTCATCAATATAGTACTCTCTTCGCTACACTTCACTGTGATTCTGGTCTCCTCATAAGTGATGATGATGGTGAAATTAGTGTTCATTTGGAATTTAAAGCTTTGGGAGGCTTACTAGTGATTTCATTTTGGCAGCTATGGTGCCTTTGCTCGAAAGCTTCGTGGGCAGACAAGAGTTAGTAGAAACGATCAAGGGTTGTATCATCGACTCGGGATGAGCAGATCCTCTAGATACCAAGTTTTGTGCTTTTCAAGTTTTCTCCATTGCTTCATTGTCTTATATTGGAACTTTGGAAGTAGAAGATATCCCAAGTAAGGAAATTGAAGTAGAAAAGGCCAATACTGTTTGTAGGTTTCTTTGCTTTCCAGAGAAAGTGATATTTCTTTTTTGATTGTGAAAGCTTTACTAGTTGAATTTCTATGTTGAAGCATCCTAGATTGATACATGCATTTACCGAACCATGACCAGGGGAGTTTTGACTTTGATAATTAAGCAATAAGGTCTGTAAATAGATAACTTGGTACCTACAAAGACCATAGCTATGAGTTAAAACCGCCGATATCTTTTCGTTATTTAGCCATCATTCACAGGGTAATGGTACATTGGTCTATATATCTTGCAAAGGCAATCTTGTTCACTTGCGAGATTTGATGTTTTAGGCATGTGAACGAGGAAAATATGATCCTCAATGTTCAAGTTGTTCTTCCTGATACAACAGATCATCTCATGGCTCTATATTCACTTATGTTGAAACTTGTTTCTGTGTACAAAATCGTCGCATAGTCCTTAAACACATCTTAATCAATTAACTGGCATTTGATTATCAATGAGTAAAATATTCTCTTGCAGATTTGGGCAGCTGGGTTTACCGCTGCCATATTGAAGAAGCGTAGCTCCACCATAAAAACAGAACCAATCAGTCCCATTAACGAAGAGTCGAAGACGATGCTTCAAACCCACAAAAGAAGGAACCTCTAGGACTCGAAAACATGATGCTATCATCTCTAGAGAAACTCTTACCCATCGTCTTAAACCTCCCAGATGTCAACATGTAAGCTTCACACACTAAACAGTAGATACCCATCTGCGTCTTGTTGTCTTTACGGTCGGATTTTTGTTTATCTTGCAGGAGGCTAAAGAAAATCATCAAGAAACTCTATGAGAACCATCCTCCATGTCCTCAGCTCTATCTTTACAGCTCCGGGGACAAAGTTGTTCCGTCTCATTCCGTAGAGCAACGGATCAAAGAACAACAGAAGATGGGAAGAAACATACATTCTTTCAATTTCAGGGATCACTGCCGGAATTTTCTTGACCTGTACTCACAGCTTCATAACTTCTTGCAAAAGTGCTTCACGCCAACAAAAGTGCTTACGATGGGCATCGAACTTTCCGTTAGGTAGATTGGTTTTTCTCTGGCTTATGTATGGGGTTTTACCATTTCTGAGAATCCAAGTGTTTATCGATTTTTTTTTTTTTTGGTGGTGGGGATGTAGAAATCAGGCGGCGGCGGAGCTAGCCAGGGACCGGTTAGTGGTCGGAGTATGTGATGGCCCAATGTTGACGAACAAGCAAGTAAGCAAGCACCCCCTCAGATCTCTTCTCGCTTTTCCCCTTTTCACTCTCTTGTGCGTAAAGTTTTGATTTTTAGCATTAAAGTGAAGTAGTTAAGCAAATAATTTCAGAATGAGAAATCTGGCAAAATTTTGTTCAATCTCATAACTTATGTGAGGTTGAAGGGGAAGTCTACTAAGTTACAGTGGCCGTAGAGTTCTTATCATGAGTTGCAAAGATATCTTTCTGAGGTCTTCTGATTTTAAGGCAAAAGAACACTCTTTGATCGTCTGTGTACTCGGTTTTTCTTTGATTTAGAGCTGAAACTGTTAGGCTTTGTTAAGGTCTTATTTCTCCACTCTTTTGTGTGTATATATAGTTCTCTGAGATGATACAACCCATTGAAGAAAGGATGCGTAATGTGGAGAACTATGTTAAGGTAATTGCAGCAAAATGTGGAACTTTCTCATCAGGTTTTCTATGTACTCACATTGTCTTCTTATTTTCATGACATGTGAACTAATTAACGTGAAATGAGTAACAAAAGATGAAGCAGAGTTTCTCATGCTGACTTTTCTTCATGCTCTTGTGTAGTCGATTGAATGAGTAACAAAAGAGGGCTTTCTCAACTTAAGTTTCGTCTTTTTATCCACCAGCCTTATCTGATTGACCTTCTGGTGCCCATTATAAGCTTTAATCAACAAACCCAACTGCTTTCTTTGACCAATCTTCCTTGGACATGCTTGTGCAGATCGAGGTTGTGGAGATAGTTTGCGATGGATCGAGTGGAAATAACACAAGTTCGAGTACTCTGGGGAAGTTGGAGAAAGCCGAGAAACGAAAACAACCCGCAGAAGAAGAAGCATTATGAACACGGGACCTAAGAACTAGTCACATGTAAAATCAAGTTTGTTTGTAATGTAATAGAATGATCAAATCAATCTTTGCCTCACCAGAAAAGGTTGTATATCGGCTGAAACAATCAATAAAGGTCGAGTCTTTGCATTCCTTTAGCAGAAAACGGTGTTGTTCTAGTGTGGAATCTCATATAGCGACGCCGTTTTGAGAAAGGAATCAACTTGAAGGCCCAATCAGAACAGTAATGTTTTCAAAGCGAACTTGAGAGGATTCGTTCCTTGTGAAGTAAGCAATTTCGTTGTCGTGATCTTAGGGTTTCTTTGGTTTTAAGCCATTGTTGAAGCTGAGAGATTAGATCGGGTCTCTATAACCAACGGTGTTAGGGTGAAACTGAGAGAGACGATGAGCGAGTTTCACCGATCGAGAGATAGAATCTATGCTTGTGACAGAGAAGATCTCAAAAGGAAGTACTTTTAAGCGACTGGTGAAGAACCAAGTAACGAAGACATTGAGAAGATGATCACTGGAGGGTCGGGAGAATCTAAGTTTGTGTATACGTTTGAAGTGAAACCAGAGATTGATTGAAACAGGAAGCGAGGAATGACTTTAAGAGAGTTTTAATAGACATGACTGATCTTGTTGAAGCTAATGTGGCTAACAGATTGCTCTATTCTAACCAAATGAAGAAGAAACAACCATTTGTTCGGTTTCTGATTTGTTCAACTAATTATTGTAGACGATGAAATGAAAACGCAACTTCAAATCCGAAAACAACATACAAATAACCTAAAAATGTTCTGAAAATATTTCAGTTAGATAAGATGGAAAAATATTAAACTTTTGGGAAAGAAGCACCACCCGAATCAGTAGCTGCATCACTCAGATAAAAGACCTAATATTTAGTATGAACTTGGAATTTATATAACTTACCTATCTCATCGGGAGAAGAAAAAAACGATATCTGATCATCCACCCAAGCATCTTCTGCCATTTTCCATTCTGATTGCTCCATCAGAAAAGCAGCTTCAAGGTCAATAGCAACCTGACGGGCTAAGGCTTCCTTGCGAGCTAGCCACTCTCGTTCATACTCAATCCAAAGGTTTGCAGCTGCCAACGCTTCAGTCTCTTTCTCACGCCGAGTCTGAAAACGTGGGGCTATATGTCAAAACAAACCATGAGCTTAGATGTACAAGAATAATATTGCGAGATCTTTTAGATCTATGAGCGATAACACAAAACCAAATTAAGCAAGCCACTCCTTTTCATATTCGGTCCAAACAGCGGCGGCAGTCAAAACCTCAACTTCTTTTTTAAGACAAGTCTAAAAGAATGACATGCAAATTTGATGAAACATTTATGTAGTACATGGCAAAAAGAATATTAGAACTAAGAGAGTTTTTAAATCTACTAAATTTGTCGATGACAAATCTCATGTCCTAAATTTGCACAACTATTTCTTCTCTTTTGCTTCTAAACTTTTAAATCTTAGAGCTAGCTCTGATTGTAATGTTGATATGGTGTCATATCCTCAAGTTTGTTGATAATTGCACTTTGAGAGTATCTTTATGTGGCCATGGTGTTATAGTGATATTACTTTCATAAACGTGAATAATTTGAAAAACGTTGTGAATGATAAAACATAACCTACTTTTTCTGAACTAAATGTAAAATTTGTTTAGGTAAAACCTTTGTTACATAAAGTGTATTATTGTTTTGAAAATAAAAATATAGATGAATGTAATGACTGTACATGAATCTAATAACTATCAATATGCATAGTCACATTTTCAAAACGTAAAGATGAAAAAAAGAGTATATCAGTCCATTATCACCAAAATAACTTAACATTGTGATTTTAAGCATCAGTAGTTATTTGTTATTCATAATGTAAATCGTTAACAAGATCTGAATTCGAGTTTTATTATTTACTATAGTTAATTAATAGTTTAACAAAATATAAGAAGAAATATAACTGAAATCTTATTATATAAAGGAGAATGATTTAAAGTTAGTAACTTGTAGGATTATGACACGTCTAAAATTGGTAACTCGCAAGATCATAACATTTATTAAGATAAATGATCATATTTTAACATGTATTTAATTAATTATAATTATATTTAACTTATCTTATTTAAAAAAAAAGAAATTTTATAGTTGGTTCCTAATGGTAAAAAGTAAAGGAGAAAAAGGGTTGAAGTTAAGAAAAAAAACAATAGATAAAAAAAAGAATAAAATTACAGTTCATAAAAAAATATATATATATTTCAGTTTACCATAAAAATTTTAAATAATATATTACAATCATATAGAAAAATTTGATAGTATTTTAAAGAATATGAAACCTGAAGAATATGAATTTTTCTTAAAAACATAAAATTAAACAGTAGATAACAAATACACAACCAAAAATTTTTTTGCTAATCTTTTTTGTTCATAAGCTAGATATAATTGTTTATTTCATGTTACTCATGTTAAGTTAATACATAGAATAATTATTGTACATTAGTTTAATCATGTAGAATAGTCATGTTTAAATTATTATTATTTTATTATTTTATTATTTTGTGTTTAAATAATTTTATAATTACCGATAATTTTAAATTTATGTATTATATATTTTTACAGATAGTCTCATTTTGTTGTCTATATTCTTTTTATGGGCTATTTTATAAAATAGTAAATCACAAATCCGCATATATATGGGTACTTATTTAGTAAAATATAAAGCTCAAATCAAAAATAATTCTACTAAATTTTAATTAAAGAAAAATTTAAAATATAAGTTAAATAGTTATTATATGCATATCAAAAATATATATATATATATATCAAAAATAAAATATAAGCAGCCTATAAAACTCAAATAAAATATAAGCATATAAGCAGAATTTAACTCAATAAAAGATAATTCTACTAGATTTTCATTGGAGAAAAATAAAAATATATTATATTTTGTGCTATATATGCAATTTTAAAAATTCGTATAATTTAATTATTTATTTATTTTATTTCGCGTATTTTTGTTGTAATGATTTTATCACATATATAGATTTTTTTTAAGTTACTAAGAATAACAAATTAATTAAAAAATGAAGGTTTCTCAGAATTACACAACTCTAAATTGTGACAATAATATATACAAAGGTCCTTAAATTTTTGGTGTCCTCAAATAATATTTTTTTAGGAGATTAAAATTGAAAAATATATAAAAAGACAAAAAAAAATAAGAGATTCGGAAAAGAAAAAAGAATAGAAACATGAACTGTCTCTTTGACTCTTTGGCGAGTGTGAAAAGTAAAGTACATTTACGCTTTGAAACACAGAGATTGAGCGAACCAAAACCTCACTCTCTAGATTACCCTGAAATAAACCGTCTTCACTTTCACTGTCTGCAACTTGCAACACAACTAGTTGAGAAGCTACTTCTTCTTTTTCTCAGATTCTTTGTCTGCAAAAATTTCCTTCCATTTTCTCTCCAAATTCACCTCAAGATGCCGATCAACAAAGACCCATCAACTCCTCCGCCTGTCATCGGAAAAATCGGGCCTTACACTGTCTTCATGACTCCTCCGGCGACTCCAAAACCACCTGAATCTTCTGCCGCCGTGTCTCAGAAGCCCATCGTTCCACCACCGGTTCTTCCTCCGCCTCAGCAGTTCAAATCGGTGGCTTCCTCTGAACAGGACGGCTCAGTTTTGGGGTTCTTCAAAAACGCCGTCACAAAGGTTCAAAATGGTAAGAAACCGACAGAAATCTGACTGATTTTGAGAAGAAAAGTTTCCTCATTTTCGGATCTTGGGTTTGAGATTGTCTTTGTTAAGTAATTGGAAATTGATGTAAAGAGTCTATCTTTGTTAAGTAATTGGAAAGTTGGAGATTGTTGCTAATCTACCATGAATTGTTGTTATTTTGACATTCTTGTCTGTGTGTTAAACCTTTTTGCTACAGCACATTCAAGCGTGGATGATCATTTGGTGAGGTGGTTTGGGTTAAACCAATCTAAGTACCAGTGGGCTTTGGATGAGTATTACGAAGGCAAAGGATCAGTAAGTGTTCTTTAGACCTTTGAGAAAGTTTTTGTGTTCATTGCTTTGTGTAGTTTCTCGTTCTTGCGGTTCTTGGACCTTTATATGTGCTAGTTTCTTCTATCATTACCGAACTCATATTTTCGATTTGTTTCATCAGTGTTTTTTTGTTAGCTAATTAGTTGGATAACATTATGTTTCATGTACATTGTAGGTAAGCTTAGAAGCAAAGCTTGTTTCTGCTCTCTTTTTCTTTTTTTTTTCCGTTACTTCTTGTTTCCCTTCTAAGCTAATGAATTCAACGATAGACATCCATTGGACTTACTCAAAACACATTGTGGTTGAATGCAGGAAATGAAGAGCGTGAAAGCAAAGGAGATGCCGGGAAAAGTGCAGAGCGTATAAGCAACCATATATTCACTTCTTGTGCCTTTGGTCAGTTCCAAAACCTGATTTTCTGGGAGAGTTAAAAAAAAAGAAGCTTGAGTCTTGATAAAAGTTTTCTTCAGATGATCGATCATTGAATCCATTTAACCCTAGAGTGATTCTCTTTTGGTGTTTTTGAGAAACAACGGTAGTTCCATTGTAGTTTTATGTATTAGGGGTGAAATCTCCAAAGGAAAAATGGAGTGTTTGCATTGATCATTTGGTTTGTTGTAAGTTTAATCACATTGTTTACTTTTTACCCTATCGTTTATAATTTACTACTTACTAGTATATGTTATGTCTTTAATATGGAAACAAGTTGCTTAAGTTTTTCTTTCGTGAACAAACAATTTACTAAAGTGTTGATTGGTTCACTTGCTATCATCCGCAAACGTTGCGTTTGCAATAGTAGCGGTTAGTGGCGTTTTATCACAATTATAGAAATCGTTGTAAACCGCTCCGTATAGTTTTATATCGCTGAAATTCAAAAGCTGCTTCTCGCCAGCGTTTGCGGTTGCGGGCGGTTGCGAGCGGTAGCAGTTGGGTAAAAAAATAAAAATAAATAAAATCACGCTAGAAAAAAAAAATCACGTTAAAAACAATTATAAAACCCTAATCCTACTAATCTTCTTTTATATATAAACTCTAACCTCTCACTTTTTCTATCAAGTTGTAATCTCTAATCATGGCTTTCATATCAGTTGAAGAAAATTAAGGTACAAGCATAAGTGTCATAATACTTTAGTTTAATTTATTTATATTAATTGTTCTGTTTTCACTTTTAAATTTAAAGTAAAAAATTCTAAATATATATCTTATTAATTACAAAATTAGTTTGTTATAATTTTTTTTTTGTTCTTCAGAAAGTTACATAATCAAACGAGATGACATATGCGTTACTTCAATGGATTATTGTGGAAAAACAAAGTTAAGATAAATATCCTAGATTTTTGAATGCACTATAGAAAGAACGTATTTTGAAGAATACTAATGAGCAATTTGGAGTTGATTTGAGTTGGAATCGTATAAAAAATCGATTAGATCAATTGAAGAAATTTTACATCATGCATAAGACAAATCCAGAAGATCCACGTATTGGAACAATTTTTTTCTAGTCTATTACATTACTAGACACAACTTTGGGTGATGTTCCCAATAATTGAAATAAAACATATTATTATAATTTTTTTTAATTTTTAAAATAATTATTTAGTATTTATTTATAATTTATTAATTATTTTAAACTATTGATTTTGATATTAATCATAATAATATAGTTTTCTGTTTTTTTTTATAATTATATATGATGTTTATTTTGGTAATTTTATGTTTAACTGCTAAAACAATCGTTGGTTTGCCAGTCAAAATTGTCTCGCAAACAGATCCGCCTTAAAAACTTTAACCTGTCGTGCAAACCGCCGAATAACGCTCAAAACCGCAATCGTCCGCTTCCGCAAATTCCCGTACTCGCAACCGCAACTGCTGCGTTTAAACCAATCAAGCCCTAAGTTCGATGCACAAACTCACATTTTATCAATTGAAAACATGAATTTGTTTTTTTTTTTTTTTTTACAACATGATTTGAAAATGATCCATTTCTTATTTACTAAGCAAGTTATTGCAAACGGTAGATTTAGACTTCAAGAAGGTCTCCAATATTGTGAGTTGAATCATCTATCGTAAATTTATGCGTTGAAAAATAAAAATTGAATTGCTTGCATATCTGTATATATAGTAGGGGTGGACGCGGAGCGAATATCCTGGATTTTGAGGATATCCGTGATCCGCTCCGTTCTGTCCGGATCATCACTTTTCCGATCCGTATTTGCTCTGTAATTATCTGGATATCCGCTTTCCGGATATCCAACAAAAATCCAAATATTTGCCGGATATCCGATCCGCTCCATAAAAATATTTTAATAATAATATATTTAAAATAAAAATAAAAAAAATTCAAAATTTTGTCAAAAATAACAATATTTTTTTTTAAAAAAAAATTTCTTAACTTATTAAGCTTTAATATATATAATAATAAAATTTATTAACAACAATTCAAAAAAATTACATCTATATATAATTATTATACAGTTTATATGAATTATTATCTATATATATACATATATACTTAAACCAGAGCGGAGCGGATATCCGTCTGGATTTTTTTTTTAATATTTGTGATTTGCTTTATTTTTAACGGATATTCAATTTTAGTATTTTTTTTGCTCCGTAAAATTACGAATATCGGATCAAATCGAAATGAATAATGGATCTAAGCAAATCTAACGGATATTTTGCTCAGAGCAACGATTTGCCCTAGACAATGATTGAAGACCACTTAATTTTGAATATTTGTTATATTGGACCTGGCTATATTTAAGGCCCAACAATAACCGATTCTTCGATAATAGCCCAATTATTCATTTTTGGTCAGACTTATCCCAACATTTTTAACGTCTTTTTATGTTCTCCGTCTCCGATTAAATGAAAAGAAAAATCTTTTGGAATTTAATTTAATTTAAAAAAAAAACACACGAAGAAAGGTTTAGTTAGGGCTTTTGAAGGACCAATTTTGCGCGGCTGCTTTCTTCTTCTTCTTCTACCCTGACTCTCCGCCTCTCCGTCAATTTTTTTCGCCGGAGATTAATAAAACCATGATTTGCGGCGGAAGAAGCTATGTCACTTCACCTCCGTCGTTCTCCAACGACGCTAAGAAGCTCCTTGTCTGCACAGGAAACACTGTCTCCGTTTTCAGCGCCGCCACTGGTTTACAAGTAACCATTTTTCCTCGAAAATCTTGTCAAAGGTTTCTCCTTGAATTGTTAATTTATAGGTTTCCTTTTTTACCCTTCAGATTACTTCGCTTGAGGGTCACACAGCTCCAGTGACGACTCTAATTGTTGTTCCTGCGTCGAGTGCGGCTCAAAAGATCCTCTGCTATTGCTGGACTGCGTCTCTCGATGGTACCATTCGTCATTGGGATTTCTCAGGACCTGAGCTTTTGAAAACCATTGATGCTCAACTTCCGATTTACTCCATGGTAAGTTAAAAAGTTGAAGACTTTGGCTAATTAGTATTTGGGAAATCTCTTGAATCTATCTTCTTGTTTTTTTTTTCTCTCTAGGTCATTCCATCTCTGTTGAGTGAGCCTCAGCAAACTGATAAACGCCGTGATTCTAGTAAGTTGGTTGCTTATGTCTCTGTTGAGGATACGAGTGTGGTCAGAGAAGGTTCCAAAGAGTTGCGTGGACACATTCGAAGAGTTAACCTAGCAAAAGAGCGTCTTCCCCGCGGAGATACTTTGAAAGAGGTAAGTTTTATAAGGAGTTATATGTTAGACTTGTGTCTTTGATTTGATTGGTAAGTTAAAAGCTTATCTTCTTGTGTAGACGGAAGAACCGAAATCGATTGTTATCAGCCCCTCAGGAGAATTTTTCGGAATCCGTCACAAGTGCAAAATTCATATATGGGATGTTCCTTCTGGAGGATCAAAGAATGGTGTTTCCAGGAAGATGACACTACATCACACAAAGGTTATCAATGCTTTTGCATTTCATCCCACGGAGAGAATTATAGCTGCCGGAGATGTAACAGGAAGAGTGTTGATATGGAGAGGATTCGGTAATAGGAAACTTGTCTTGGGTAATCAAAAGAAAAATTTGAGAACAGTGGTTGATATGGACAACCCTGGGGTGAGAGATGAAGATGATGCTGAATCTTGCACTACGTGGCATTGGCACTCTGCTGAAGTAAATGTCCTTAATTTCTCATCCGATGGAGCATATTTATACTCAGGTATGACTGAGTTATTATCTGCTTACATTGACCGCGTAAAAGTGTGTTTGTACGCAGCTAGACTAGACTTCAGTGTTTTTATCATCCGATATAAGCTAGTAGGTCATGAAAAAAATTTACTCTATATTGCATCTTTTTTCTTACTCTTTTAGGGGGAAGGGAAGGAGTACTTGTCGTTTGGCAGCTAGACACAGGGAAGAAGAAATTTTTACCAAGAATAGGGTCTCCCTTGTTGTATTTCATGTGGTCACCAGATCCAACTCTTTCTTCTGTAAGTCGAAGCTTACTGTTTCAATCTGATCTAACACACAACCTGCTGCAAACAGAAATTGGAATGTTTTCCTGATTTTACTGATAACAAGAGCTGCAGGTGGTTTGTGCAGATAATCAGATCCATTTTCTTAAAATGCCTTCCATGGAGATCTTAAGGACCATTTCTGGAATCAAGGTTCGTTTTCGAAACTTTTCAATTCAGTACCTGAAAACATTTTCTTGTCGGTTTGGTCAACGGTTCTTTTCTTCTAGAAATTCTCACAACTGGTTAACCTTGGAAGCTAGTAACCTCTCTTTTATCTTCTTTTTATATGGTATGGTATTTACGTCACCGTGCGTGTTTGCTTTTCAGCCTCCCCCATCATTGCCTAAAATGTATGAAGGTTTGGCTAGTACTGTTGCTTTTGATCGATCTTCTGGCATAGCTGCTTTGTGCACAGAGAATTATTGTGTTCAGCTATACAATCTTCTTAATGACCGGGGAATTTCGGAGGTTAGTATGTGGCTCCAAGATACATTTGAGAAGCTCTTTACACTTTCTACATGAATTCGCTAAGTTGGTATGTGATAGTTTTAAGGTTAACTTTTGAACCAATTCTTTTTGCAGATTCAAGTTTGTGAGAGAAACCATCAACCCGGAGATGAAATCACAGTAAGTACATTTCCTTGCTACTTTATTTGGGTTTATAACCTCAGATTATTTTCGTTTGGTGATAATTTGAGGATACGGTAATAGGTTGTAGTGACAGCTGTTGCTCTCTCCCTAGATGGCTCAGTGATGAGTACAACCGAGGTGAAACTTCCAGAAGATGGCATAGGAGGTTTAGTGTCCCTCAAGTTTTGGGTGTCTGAAGCAGACAACAAAACTTTCACCTTATCAACTATCGTATATGAACCGCACAGGTTAACTACACTCACCCTCTGCTGATGTTTCAAGCTTTGTTTGTTCTTGTCTTTTATCATTTCTTGTAAACCCAGGAAATCTAGATTTCGTTTTCTCTGATTGCAAACTGTTATATCCTCTACATGAGAGTAAATGTTTCTCCTTCTGTATATCTTATAGGGATGCTGGTGTCTCAGCCATTGCCTTCAACCCTACCCGCTCCATGGCAGTCAGTACATCGTTTGGTGGGGACTTCAAGGTAGTTCTTAAACTGATTTTATATTATATCATATCTCTCAGTCTCAGTCTCAGTGTATCCTATTTATTTGTTATCATTGACATC